GGGAGAAGAGAGAGAAGCACAAAGCTCTACTAGGATGCCCAGGAGCCTCAGCACAGAGCCGAGGCTTCTGATGGCCTGACTGGGTGCAAAGCAAAGACAGGCCCCACACTGTCGTGTGACCAAGACCCTCAGTACCCAGCCAGGGTGGGCTTCCCTGGTGACCCAAAAGCAGATGGCCCAAAGGGCAGCCAGAAGGTGAGGAATGGCAGGGAGAGGCCCCTCCAGGGAGCAGAGGTCTTATTCTAGAGTGCAGACGGCAACCACAGGGCTGATGATTGAAACTCGGTTTTACACTGAGAAATCCATGGGGTGCCTAGGGAGGGCGAGTCTCGTAAAGCCCAGGCTGGGCTGGGCCGTTCTCTGGGGGTGACCCTCACCCCTTTAGGGAATATCCTGTTCTTTGGGTAAATCCATTGTTTTGCTTCTGAAAAAGGAAAATCTGTTCCAGGAGCTTCATGAGGCCCAGGTGGTCTTGCTTCCTGACAACTTTTAACCACAAGTATGGTATGTGGATTTAGGGTAACAAGGTGGACTAGCTTGGTGGTGGATGGGTCCTTAAGCATTAGCATCTTCCTAATTTGCAGGGACCGATCCAACTAGAACATGCAGGGCCTCTTGAGATAAGGCTAAGAATGTAAAGGCAACATAATAAGAGAACTGAACAGAAAGTGTTAAACCAGGAATATAAAATCTTTCTAGAGATGAACAGACAGGTTGAATGCCCAAGCAGCCAGCCCTGTCCCCAGACCACACAATTCAGGTAAACATTAGTTCCAGATGGTGCCCAACGAAAGCAAACCAGGGCATGCCTCCCACCAGGGTGGGCAGGCACAGCGAGGGCCCCTCTGCACATAGATAAACAGGACAGCCATGTAGGAGAGTCAGCAGACACAACACTAAGCTGGAGAACTGGTGAGATGGGCAGGCCTGATCGTTCCAGAAAGAGAACACATGTTTAGTCTGTCCACCCAGTGGCGCACGCACAAGACGCACACATTCTTTATGGCCTCCTCTCAAAAGCCCAACCCAAACAGAAAAACTCACTGCCATGGGGTTGATGCCAATTCATACCTGCCTCAGAGGACCCTAAAGCCCTTGTGGGGTGCTGAGGCTGTAAATCTTTCTGGGGGCTGGAAACTCCATCTCCCAAGCAAAATCCGAGTGGACCCACCTAGGGTCAAGGAGGAACATGCCGGAACAAACAAATCTGAATGCGAGAGTAGCTGGAAGGGGAATCATTCAGCACAAAGAGGGTCTAGCAGCGTGTTTGTGAGACTCTGGCTTGCTGGCCGTGGTAGAACCTAAGGATTTCCCTGGGCCTAGCTCTCTTGTGCACTACCCTCTTGTCTCCAGCTTCAGAGGGGGAGGGTCTTCGGCTCGCTGTGCTGACAGGTGTTCCTGCCACCCCCCACCCCACCCCCAATGCAGCACCTGCAGCACACCAGCAGGAAGGAGATACAGTTTGGCAGCCCACAGCATCTATGCTTTGATGTCAGTGGCGAGCAGGTGATTCTTCAGAACTGCACGAAGGAAGGCCCGGCCATCCAGCAGCAGCACTGGGACTTCCAAGAGGTGAGTTGTCTGTCCACGAAGTTCTCAGCAATGCAACACTCCGGGCTCTTGTTCACCAAGGGATCAAGTTTGTCCATAGTTGGACTTGGTGGCTTTCCCAATAGGTCAAATCAGATCTGCCACGTTTTTCCTTTGAATGCCAACTCTACTATGATAACATTCTATCATTATTGTAGGACTTTGGTTCCTATTGCCCCCAGGAGCAAAACTCACCCTTGCCAAAGGTGCTGTATCGACAGAGAGGACGTGGGAGGAGCATAAAATACCTAGGGAAAGGGTCCCAGATACAGGACGAAGGAAGGTGATCGTATCAACATTACATGTCCATAGACCACTTTTTCCCCATCTCAAATTCTTTCTGAGAACAATTAGGGTGTAAATACACAAAACGCCCACATCAGTTTCTGTTCTTCAACTACTTCTTGAGGGTACTGACAATGATCGATTTAGCGGAATCAGCAAACAGTCGAGGGAAAAGCTCTTGGGGCTTTGATGACAAGGACGCTCAAGACTGGGGACCCCGCACGTGCTCAAAGAAGTCCTAGAAACCGAGTTAAGGATCATGTTCCATAAGCCCTATGAAGAGGAGACGGACGGGGACCACAGCGCTTTAAACTGGAGTTATCAGGAATCAGAGAGTAGTTGATGGCAACATTCGATCCGGTGGGTTTTGAGCAGGTAACGCCATAGTCTCTCAAGCAGGGCTGGCTTTGGTCTTCAGTGGATCCTTAACGTGGTGTTTTTTTTTTGAGATGGGGGTTGGGGGTGTGAAAACCAGGGCTAAAGTCAGCAAGTGGAATAAGGGTTCTGGGGAGAGGGCAACACAGAGTGGGTGGCGGGGTGAAGGGGTGATGACGTCAAGTGGTCCATATTGAAAAAAGAATATTTGGAAACTGTGGTGGCAAATGTACAATTCTGCTGGATGTGATTGAACTACGGAATAATTTGATATATTAATCCCAATCAATAAAACTACCATATATACTTGAGTATAAGCTAACCTGAATATCAGCCGAGGCACCTAATTTCACCACAAAAAACGGCATTAAAAATGTGCCGAAAAACTCGGCTTATACACGAGTCTATACAGTAATTAAAAATATCTAGTGTGCTCTCCACTACAACCTAGTAGCCCCAAGGATGCAACGCAAGCTTAACCAAAGCCCCAAACCAGTTCCGTTACTGTGCACTCTGTTCCAACACTTCGTGACCCTAAAGGACAGGAAATGGCTTCCAGGGTTTCCAAGGCTGAGATCTTTACAGAAGTAGACTAGCTGCCTCATCTCCCTCCTGGGGAGCACAACTGCTGGGTTTGAACCACAGAATTTCTATTAACAGTCTAGAGCAGTGGTTCTCAACCTTCCTAATGCTACGACCCTTTCATACAGTTCCTCATGTTGTGGTGACCCCACCCCCCAACCATAACATTGCTTTCGTTGCTACTACATAACTGTAATTTTGCTACTCTTATAAATCAGGTAACCCCTGTGAAAGGGTCGTTCAACCCACAAAGGGGTTGTGACCCACAGGTTGAGGACCGCTGGTCTAGAGCTTATCCACTGTGTCCCCAGAGTGGATAAGATCGATTTGAAAGCAGAAATTTATAAGCTCAGTGATAAGAGCAAATGTCACAACTACAGCATAAAGCATGGACAGTGACATCCTACTAACCAGAACTCTCTGAGTTCATTTTCATAACGACAGTAATTCCATGAGGTTAATGACCCCGAGGTCCTGAAAAGACATTCAAACTGTAGGGCTCAGTAAATGATCTTGTGTGTGACCAGGAATACAACAGGCCAGTCCACGCCACCTATATTACGCTCTTGGTAATGAGCACGGGTGCCTCCTTTTTTGCTGACTGGCTGTGGGGCCCTGGTTTCTGTTTTTCAGAATGGAATGATTGTCCACATCCTTTCTGGGCAGTGCATGCAGGCTATGGTGCAGGGAAACAGGAAAGACTTGTATTTGCGCCAGTGTGATGGAGAAGCCAGTCAGCTGTGGCGATATGACCAAATCCACCCTGTGGACGAACGGTGAAGACTGGGTGTCAGCAGGAAAAGGGAATTTGGGCCGTTCTGGTGCAGCTCCTAAGGAACTGAAGGACGTGTTCATTTTATGAAGAAGACATCTCTGCGTTCGTGCATCTGGTGACGGGAAAGAATCAAAGATGTCACTCCTTCTTGCATCTCATTTCATGAACAGTTGGATGTTTGAAAAGGAAAACGTTGATTTGTTAGCTCCTTGTCTTCATCACTGGAAGATAATCACTATATAATTCAGAAAGGCCTTCGTTTTTTTTCCCATTGAATGCTTAACAATAGCTTCTACTTCTGACTAGAGAAAGAAGCGTGGGCATTTGTAGTAACACCTGTAGGATAATAGATCCAATGGACTCATTTCTTTGTCTTCAAATGATCTTAACTTGGGTTGTTGGTGGGGCCAACCATGAAAATTACAGTGTGAAGACTGTCTAGTAGCCTAGCATCTCAAGTACTTTGGACTAGGTTGATTAGCATGAATGCCATGCTCATTGGTAGAGCAATTGCTTGAGAGAAGAGAGAGTATGGTTAGAGCAAAGATGGAAGAGAGCTTTGGCCCAATTACCCAGCTCAGCCTAGCAGCGGAAAAGCGTCTGTAGACCTGAGACAAGGTGAGACAAGGTATGAGAATTTCCTTGACACTTTCTACCTCTGTCTACACTGACCTAGCCTTTCTCTAGCTTAGCTCTTGCTTGTATTTCTCTTCAATTCTTAGAGTGGGAAGGATCAGCCAAGACTGATCCAGCCCATTCACAAAAGTGTTTACAGTTAAGAGACTCTGAATTCCCTGCCACAGGATTTGTGCTACGGAATCATTAATAGCAACCGTTGCAGGCTGACATACTTCCCCGAGAAGGACATTTCAGAGTCTAAGCTAAAATTCATATGAGAAGAAGCAGAGGTCGGTGAAAATGTCCCTGAAGTAGTATGTCCATGGCAGAGCCATTTCTGTGCCCATAGGAGCTGCTTGGGACCTCCCAATGTGCCCAGGGGTTGAACTTCCACAAGTATGGGAGGAAAGGGGTACGTGGTGGTGTATCTGACGTCTCGACAAGAGCAGGCGGGGATGATGCTCCTGGCTGAGATCTTGCTTATCTCGTTCAGGTGTAAGACCTGCCGAGTGGGGTTGACTCTGCTACGCAGAAGATACCATTCATAGATATTTCTCTGTATATGGTCAGTTTGAACATCTCCACCTCAACACTGCCTCGGGCTGCTTCAGAACACAGTGTGTTTTTAATGAGAAAAACTAGGTAGAAAATGTGGTTTCCAAGCAACCCCTATCCTAATTATGTAGGCATTCCTTCTCCATAGGCTTAAGTCTCTGCACTCCTCCTTTCTCAGCACACACTCTTGCGCAGACTTCTGCTGTCCAATAGGAAAGCCACGTGCCACAGGCAACTATATAAATCAAAATTCCTTAACATTAAAATAAAACATAAAGCTCGGGACTACAGTTGTATTGGTCACATGTCATGGACTTCCTCGTCACTTTGGGCTACTCTGTTGGACAGTGCAGATATAGAACATCCCGTCACCACAAACAGTTCTATTGGACCGTGCTGATCTAAGTAGATTCCTCAACCACACTTGAGAGACAGAGAGAGAGAGAGAGATTGAGATTTTATCCACTGTTTATCTCTTTTGGACCTTTCTCGATTTAAAACAAATTCCCACAGCAATCTGAGGCTGCGCTAGAGCTGAAAATTCTCAGATGACAACCTTGCAAAGGGTATTAATGGTTGAAGAATAAACATTAAACAAGACCTCTATTTTTTTAATGAATTGTATTACTGGCATTGTGGGTGTTTGCTGTTGTTGGGATAAATTAATATAATTAAATAAAAGACGGAATTCAATTGTGTAAGTTGTGTTTGACAGTAATGAACAGAAGGACCCAGATGGTTTACTGCTTAAGTGGTCGAAGAAAGCAAGATTGGGGTGTTTCTTCTTCCTTAACTATCCCCATGATTTATTGCTTTACTACAGAAATGGTTGTCAACTTGGTCCCTGACTGGTCCTTACAGACCTTTCATTTAAACAAAGCAGATGCCTCCATTTAGTTCTAACAGAAACTCAGCCTTCTCATCATAATGTAACCGAGTATTCAAATTCCCGCCTTCTCAGTGGACTCAGCTTTCATTTCACCTATAATTATCTATTTAAAACGAGAGAAACATGGAAGTTGGGAACTGCCTACCCCAGAGTTTGATCTTCCTTGGCCCGCCTGACTTTTATGATTGGGCTTTATTGTTTGGTCTCTAGATTGAATTTCATTATTGATTCCACCAGGCTGCTCAGTGGGCTCGCGTGGCGCTGCAAGGGGTAGGGGTGGAAAGATTAGGTTCTGCCAGCAGGGCAGGGCGCCTTGTTCTTCATGCAATTTCACAACAGCAAAAGCAGGTGTCATCCCCGGAGAGGACCTGATCTATGTCCTCCTTTGTCCCATTGCCACAGAGACCATTGGACAACTTAAAATGCCAACCTTGATAAACATCAAAAAGTCACCACCTCCGCGATGGAGGTGCCATCTCTGCACCAGAAGCTGACATTATTAGAAGTCCCATTACTGCAATCACCTTAAGGAAGTTCTGTTTCCAAATGGAAGCCATGATAGAAGACAATTGGGCATGAAGTCATCCCTGACTAGTGCCAAGTCTGACTAGTGCCAAGGCATATGTCAAAGGCCTTAATTGACACAACTCTAACTAAATGATATTTATTCTGTAAATGCTCTTTATTAAAATGCAACTTGTTTGGATCACTTTTGACGAAAACCCAAAGCTGCAAATCCCGCACTGATTGTTTTAACACCTAGACTTAGGTCTATTATAAATGCCTAGCCAAAAAGTGATATTTCCAGGATTCTAGAACCCACTGCTAGTTCAGTGTGAATAACAACCCTTCCAAACTTCAACCACCATACCAGTTTCAATCTTCTTCCATGAATATGCTAATTGGGTGTCCTTAATATTGCTGGTGTGGTCATTCTTTCCACAATTGGAGGATGTTTATATTTTCCCATCACCAAAGGCTCTACAAAATGCAAATAAACTATGCTATCATATATATAAGTTGCTTTCTTGACTTTCTTTGGTTTAAAACAGGAATCATCACAGTTACTTATCCCTCTAGGGTGAAACTTTGCAAGCTCAGCCCTAACAGACCAGATTCATGTTTGAGAGTTGTGGTCCACCAGCAATTCTCTAACTCTTCAGCTCGCTCTTAGTCAACTGACATTCCAGTTGCCCATGGAAAATGCTAAAATGGTAGAAAGAGAACAGGGTTAACTCTTGTGAGGGGTGGAGTCTAGCCTGTCTATCAAGATATAACCAATGAGGCTTCTGTGTAGGCATGGCCTTCTCCTGAGAATTCTGGGAACTCCTGTGTTTTCCTCCTTAGAGGCGGCAGACACTTCTCACTCTCAGCTCACTCCCTGGAAGGCACTCTACTGACAAGACACATGGAACTAAGCTAGTGCCCTTAGCTGCCAGCTCTGATATGCTGGATCCAAAGACTTTCTACCCACTGGTTGTGATCTTCCTGCATTCAGCATCATTGCTTGTGTTTCATGAGTATGAAGAGGACTTTATAGACAGGTATCAGACTAATGGGTTAATGTTGGACTTATGGGCTTGGACTGGACTGGGCTGGGATGCTTTCTCAAGATTCAGTTGCTCTTGGATATAAACCTCTTTCTTACATACATATGAGTGTCTATGAATTGTTTCTCTAGTCAACCCAGACTAACACAACTTTGCTGCAGCTTTGGTGCATGGAGGGCTTTGGGCTTTTCAGTAAAGAATAGCCAAGGGAGAAATCTACCCTTCGCTTCAGAGATCTTCACAAAGACACTGCAAACCACTCTCCTTTAGGCACAGGCCAAGGGTGGCATCGCTTAATGGTTTACTCAAATAAGATCCAGCTGAGTCTGAGAAGTTATCTTAAGGCCATTGCCTACCCATACACACCAATGCATGTGTCTTTCAGAAATGGGAGAAGTGTCCATTGGGTGGGATGTCAAAAGCTACTGGATTATCCAGTTAGCACAACTCTAGGCTTCTGGCCACAGTGGAAGCAGCCATGTTCCAACAGCTCCTTGGTCCCAGGGGGGACACTTCCACTTGATCCAACTGAACCAATCAGCATGTTTTTGGATAATTTTACTACTTGAAACTAAAGAATTTGTCTGCAAATGCCTAAAGAGACCGTGTGAAATTCATGAGCTCTCGGTAGCCATCTTTTCTATATATGGTGCTATGAAACAGGTAAATTAAGTTTGGAGGGAGAGACATGAAGCAAATATAGGCAGAGGCAAGGGGGAAGAGATGGCAAGAGCATCTTGATCCCACTCAAGCTTTTGTCCCAGTTTGTTTCTAAGGCTGCTGTATTCCTATCTTCAGTCCATGAATCAATCTCTCTCTCTCTCTCTCTCTCTCACTTTTTGGTGCTCCTCAAACTTCTTAGAGTGCTCATAAGTCACATAGGGGCCCTGTTAAGATACAGATTCTGATTCGGTAGGTCTATTGGGGGGAGGAGGCGGCTGTTTACTGATTCAAGGGGTCTATGGTGGGGCACGAGATTCTGCATTGCTTATAAATAGCCAGGTGATAGAGAGGTTGCTGGTGTGTGCAAGCATTTAAACTATTTCAAGTTGCATTTCTATTGTTTGGGAATAAAAGAGTGCTCTTTGATTAGGTTTCTTTGCTTATCTTATGATTTGAATCTCCATGATAGGATGGTTTGATCCTATATTTTACAGCACAATAGACTTTATTCAATGTAATACAGACGCTTTTAATTCCTTTTCCTCTCTTCCCTCAGCCCCCTTCCTCTTTCTCATTGGGCCCACTGGGTCTAACTTTTTAACAGGAGAGTTCCCTACCTTTTTATTGTTTGCTCTTTGTTACTATTACATTGTACCTCCCCAGATTCCTTATCTTTCCCCAATTCCTCTCTGGTTCTGGTCTCCCATCTAAGCTGTGTTTCCAGCACCTATGCTCTTGTGGGGGCTTTTATAGTATTCTCACTTTTCCTCTATCTTGACCTCTGTAGCCTTGTATAACCACTTTCAACCCACCAGACTTAATGAACAGCTTTAATTTCTCCAAAGGAGTTTTTGAATCACTAGGGGGAAATCAACTATTAGTTCCTATATTCTGTTCTTATCGTCTTCATCTACTTTCTTGGTAGAGTCAAAAGCATGAAGACATTGAAATGCTATTTAGTACAGACTTGGGATGCTGTGATGGTGGTAGGAATGTGGCTGGTTGTGTGGGGTCGACTGTCGCAAAGACAAGTTGTGGTTAGGTACCACCCAGCTGGCTCTGTGTCATCAACAGAACCAGAGCTGTCTGGTCCTGCACCACCCTCACAAGCCTTTCTATGTTTGAGCCCATCACTGCAGCCACAATGTCAATCTACCTCCTGAGGATCATCCGCTTTATTGCTGACCCTCTGCTTTACCAAGCATGAGGCCCTTCTCCAGGGTCTGTTCCCTCTGGATACCATGTTCAAAGTATGTGAGACAAAGTCTTGCTGGCCCCCCTTCTAAGGAGTAGTTGGGTTGTATTGCTTCTAAGACAGATGTGTTTGTTCTTCTGGAAATCCTTGGTAAAGTCAGTATTCTTGGCCACACCACAATTCAAAGGCACCATTCTTCTCTGGTCTTCCTGTGTCACCATCCGGCTCCGCCTGCACGCCAGTCCATTGAGAATACCATGGCTTACCAAGTTACATCTTTACTTGTTAGCATGTTAAAGAGGGTTTTTGGGCTTTTTACAACATATTTGCTCAATATAATACATCATTTGATTTCTTGACTGCTCCCACCCATGGGCATTGATTTTGTATCCAAGTAAAATGAAATTCTTGTCAACTTCAATCTTTTCTCTGTTAACATGATGTTGTTGATTGGGTCTGTACTCTTCGATCTTCATTGGTCAAAGCTTCTGATGAAGGACAGATAAGAGGGTTTTTTAAAGTACTGATACAAAATCAGAGAAACTTTTATATATATATATATATGTATATATATATGAAGCTATCATTTCTCAACATATTCTCTGTCTAGGTCAATACTTTTCTGGAGGTGGTTTTTCCATCTCTCCAATTCTTCCCAACAAGTTCTATGGTTATCTTATTTATACCATCCAAACAGGAGATTGGGTACCCTTGGAGAACTCAACTCATGTTCCTTTGAAAGGTTCTCTGAGTTTGAGGAACAAAATGAAACTTGAAGGGGAAGTTCCAGGACTAGAGGACAAATGGGGAAAACTCTCCTAATGAAATTGTGGTCGGATAGCTCTTGTTACCCTCCAAGCATGAGCATGTGCACTGTCAAAAGAATAAAAACTCCTCAGTACAACTTTCCTGCGCTTTTCCTTACCAGTTTAAAATGTTATTTTCTTAAAATGTCTTCCTAATCAATCCCTGTGATCATCCTGGATGCTTCAAGAAAATCGGTCAATGGTATACTTTTGGAATTCCCACAAATGCTTGCTATAAGCTTGTGAGCTGACCTCTCGGCCTGGAATTTCAGTGGTCCCATGAAGCCACTAATTGATTGGAACTTTTTTATTTTTAAAGGCATCCTAACAAGTTTAAGGCAAATATATGTTGGAGAGAACTTGTGAACTTATCTTCAGCCATGCACTGATCAAAGACACACATTTAAACATATTTTATTTGGCATAAACACGTGTCTGGTGAGCTGGAACCATAATAGCAATTTTTAAAAATGTATCCTTGTCCATAGAGGCAGCCTCGTATTTGTTGTTCGGTGCCATCGAGTTGCTTATCGACTCACAGCAAGTCCATGCGGCAGAGTAGACTTCCTCAAGAGTGTTATCTGGGCTGTAATCTTTATGCACACTTAAAGATGGAGTCGCTGTGTGGGCTCAATCCACTAATATTTCGGTTAACAGCCAAGCTCTTGACCCTTGTACCATCAGGGCTCTGTAAAGGCAACCTGTAAGGGACTAGACTAGGGATCGGGGTTTGGGGGTCCCCCACCTCCTCCTGTAACAGTAAATATGTTTACCTGTGCCCTGAGGTCTCTGTGGTACTTGACTCTGGGGTGTGGTAGCACAGACAAATAAACTCACTGCCATCTGGCTGACCCTGCTCCATGGTGACGCTACAGTGACATTGAGCTGCTGTTCCCAAGGCCAGTAATTGGAACCCATTCGATCAACAGGAGAAAGATGCAGCTGTCTAGTCCTGTGAAGATTTAAAGTCTTGGAAATCCAAAGGGGCAGTTCTCCTCTGTCCTATAAACTTGTTATATAGCGCGCACAGGCAAACACACACACACACATCCCTTGATGCTGACCCTGGCGGACAGGCTAAAACTGCCCCTGTGAGTTTCCAAGATTATTACTCTTTACAGGAGTAGAAAGCCCTGTCACTTTCCCTCAGAGCCTCTGGTGGTTTCCAACTGCAAACCTTGCCCATTACCACTACACCACGAGGGCACAAAAGCACCCATAAAACAAAAATCCAGACGCATTGTCATTGAATTGATTCTGACTCATAGCGAATCTATAGGACAGAGTAGAACTGCCCTTTGGGGTTTCTGAAACAGGGAATCCTAATGAGAATAGACAGCTTAACTGCTCTCCCAAGGAACAGCTGGTAGATTAGAACTGCTGTCGTCGTAGTTGGCAGCACAGTGCATAGCCCACTACGCCACCAGAGCCCCATTGAATTAGCCACAGTCAATACAAGAATGCATTTGGCATGGCTGTGTCCCAATAAAACTACTTACGAAAACAAGGAACTGACCAGACTGGGCCTGGAGGCATAGTTTACTGCTTTCTGGAGTACAAATATTTGACTCAGCTGCAGAAGGAAATAAGCGACAGACTCGCTAAATAAATAAACAACGAGATCTTACCAAAGGAATTGCGAATGTGCTTGAGAAATATAAAAATGAGGCTTTCCTATTTTAAAAATAACACACAAGCAAAGGAAAACAAAATAGGGGGAGCTGAGAACAGTGTGTAGCACATGTACTCATTGTCTGCAGACTCCAATTCTCTTTAAGAAGTGGGACGAGGCAAACAAATACATCGCTTTAAAAAGTCAAAATAATAAAACCTTGACATGGCCTTCTTCCTTTGGGGAGCAGACAGATCCCAAGGACTGTGACGTTGGCGGAGGTTGGGCAGAACAAGCTTTCTTAAGAAGGTGTACAAGGGGAGCACTCCTGTAAGGGAGAGCTGCTAAGCAGCAAAGGGTATCTCTCAGCCACTGGGCCAGGCCAAAGGCATGAACCTGTGCTAGTCGAGACCATGTGACACGTGGCTTTTGATCTTATTGTGGTGAAGGCCCTCGCAAGGGACCACGCACCCACTTCCACCCACAGACAGCGCTCTTCCACTTGGGATGTGGGGGCAATCAGACCCAAGTTATTGTGTAGGACAAGAACTTTCATTTCTGTGTATTTCTATCAATGTTGATCCCTGGCATCTAATTCCTTGAGACTTCAAGACACAAGCAACAGGGGTAAAACCAGTAAAGGGACTTCAGACAGCAGGGTTTAAGGCCAGAGCACCTCAACTAACACAAGCTCATAAAGTATGTTTCAATGGGAAACCAAGGATCTGTCCTCATGGACTCCCACTATGCTTGAAGTAGTCCAGCCTATCATGTACCTTCAGGACATATCAGCATGTCCAACGCTGGCTTCTGATAATACAAACGGCCTGATGTGTTTCCCTCCCTTACACTCATGGACAGTTTCAAAGCTGCCCAGCCAACCCCATCTTTACTTTGCATCCTATTTCTATAATCTCCAAGCCACTGACCCCAGTGGTCATTGTTCATTAAGTCTTCATCATGCCCAAGAGACAGGCACCTCTATAGTTATGGGCACCCAGGTGGACATGATAGTAAAGGCCTAGGGACCTCCAGTAGAAGTCCTGGTGGTGTAGTGGTTATGCATGGGGCTGTGATCCTCAAGGCTGAAATCAGCAAAGTCAGCAGTTCAAAACCACCAGTCACTCCTCAGGAGAAAGACGGGTCTTTTTACTCCCATAAAGAGTTCTAGTCTCAGAAATTCACAGGAGCAATTCCACCATCTTGGGGTTCCAGATTTATGCATCTGATAATGACATCTCCCCAAACTGGTCTGGGAAACCTCCCTCCCAACTAGTCAGGTCTTTAGCACCCTTCTCCAACCATCTGTCATCTCATCAGGGAGCCTCCCTGCTCAATTGGCCCTAACCCTGCAGATACCGGATGAAAACGGGGTATTTGTTGCCTTCACCATGACTCTTGTCCTCCAGTGCTATTGAGTACGGCTCATGGTAAAATCGTTTTTTCAGATAACATAATAGGCATCTCTTAGCACCAAGTCATAGTCCATGCTTCCTTGTTCCCCCTTAACACTTAACACAGGGCTCAATGCTTGAGTCTATGGCAAAGAACAAGCCAGAGGTTGGGACTCAGAATAGTAACATGTGATGAATTGGAAGAAGAATCAAATAGGAAAAACATCGGTCATCGCTTAGGCAACAGAAAAGGCCTAAATAAACAAACGAGGCCTCTCTGCCTAAGCATAGGCACTCGTGGTCAGAAATCATAGGGATTCTTTTCTAAGAAGAACAGTGAGGATGATTAAAAACAGCCTTGCATGCTATGCCTCTTCTAAGTTCTTTGTTCCTACGTTATTATTTCTTCTAATCTACCTAACAGGACAATGAAGCAGGTACCAGTATTATCTGTTTTACATTATCCAATTTGCTGCTGAGGAACATCACACAGGTGTTAAGTAATTTTCCCAAGGAGCACACAACTAGGGAGTGGGGGACTGTGAATGAAGAAACTGAGCTGAAACAATGACTACCCAACTGGGAATGGTTGAAAGTAAGGGCCAGCTTGTTCGAGTTCTACCAACATTAAATGCACCAGTTAGAATGATTTCATGTGCAAACCACAGAATAATTAATTCCCAGGGGCTTAAGAAATAAAGGACTTTAGTTATTTCACATACCCCCAACCCAAAAGCAGATAGTTCCTTATTTGTTGCATTGGCTCACAGCTGTCACCCATGACCCTGGGCCTTTTTAACCTTCCGATCACCCCCTCATCTGGCTTTTGATTAAGGTCTCTATTTTCTTATGGTCACAAGATGAGCACCCCAACTGCAGACATTACATCCTTGCCGGAGCACCCCAGATAAGAAAAAAGAATGGGCATCAGGAGAAAAGTCACCTCTCACATCTTTCTCTCTAATGAGAGTGCAAACTATTTCCCAGAAACCCCAGCAAAATTCCCCTTCTGTCTCCTTGGCCAGAGCTCTGTCCCACAGTCACCCCAGCAACAAGAACGGCTGGGAAATTACCTCAGCAAAGAGGGAAGGTACCTCACTGGGGTTCTGCGAGTTATGCGGACGGGAGTGAGTGCTGGCCAGTAAGAGGGTCTGCATTTTGAGAATGCTTTTTCTTGGTGGAGTAGGTGTAGTGGCTACACGTTGGGCTGTGATCCTCATGGTCGGCAGTTCGAAACCACCAGCACCTCTGAGGGAGAAAGACTGGGCTTTCTACTCTCCTAAACATGTACAGTCTCAGAAACCCACAGGGGGCATCACTAGGAGTCAGCATTGAGTCAATCAATGGCAGCGAGAGAGCAAGTCTTCCTTTAGGTGCAGCCCTGGTGGCACAGTGGGTGACATGCTGGGCTGCTGACCAGAAGGTCAGCAGTTCAAACTCACCCCCTGTTCCTAGGGAGAAAGATGAGGCTATCTCCTCCCGTAAGTATTTAAACATCCAGAAACCCACAGGGACAGTTCTAGGAATCAGAATTGATTTTATTTTTTTGTTTGTTTTTGTTATTGTTGGTGGTGTTATGGTGTTGTTGGGTGTTTTGTGTTTCCATCACAATGAGGTAAGAATTTCGGGACACTGAGCCAAGTAAGAGGTCTATGAAATTCAGCACTCACAGGTCT